AACACCAGATGGATTGTGGGCAACAAAAATTGTTCATATACCGGTCGGTGAACTGATTTCGGAAATAATTTCAATAGTATTTTAGTTCTTCGATGTTTAAGTAAAGACCCCTTGTAAAGCAATGAATTAACAACAAAAGACTAAAGGTTGTTCAACTTTTGTTTTGAAATATTTATATGTAGCAATGTAGTAACAACAAAAAGAAGGTTGTTCAACTTTTGTTCAAGAACATTTTATATTATTGGTAACGTGTTTGGAATCCAACGACTGAATACCAAAAACTAGTCAACTTCCGGTATATTTAATGAGTATAATCTACAGACCAGCCATGTTGTTAGACCTGCCTAGTTAATAACATACTAAAAAACATCAGTTTTTTGTAGCTAGACATTACATATTCACAACATTCCAAATGAGACTAGACATCACTACGTCTGTGCAATAGGTGATTTTTCGTTCAACTGCGAGATCTCGCGAGATGCGAGCAATGATGTCATTAGAAAATGTTACAATGTAATTTCATCAGCTAACAGAAACCTTTTGTCTTAGTTTGACTTGTAAAATTTATAAATATTTATAAAAATGTTAGAGAATGGGTTTGTTGTGTCAATAGTAACAGTTTGAATTAAAGTCTGCTGCGCGTCGGTCGATACGCCAGCTGTACTATCTTCGTGTATATTTTGAGATAACCTCGTAATAACCTCATATTATCCCCACCAAACCAGACGCGACAGTGATAATTATCATGGATTATAATTTTTCCAGATAGTTCAAAACCAACTGACCCAAACTTCCTGCAAATCATGTAACAAGTGCCTCGGCATTTATTTTTGTAGTTGTAGAACTTTACATTTAGTTGTTTTTTTTTCAGTTTGGAAACTCAGGCCTGATCGCTGAGGACAATTAAGCTGTCCCTCAATCTGATTAAAATAGTATCTTTGTTTGTTTATTTGTTTTAATCATTAATTCCCTTTAATGTTCTTTGTTTTTTGTCTGACATTGTTCCCCCTTGAATATAATCAGACAAAAAAATATTCTTAGCAATTAATGATTAGTGAGTATGAGCAAATTAATTTCAAAGAAATCAAAAAAAAGTAAACAAACATACACAAAGATCTTATTTTAATCAGATTGATCCTCCACCAGCAAAGAATCACAACACAGCTTCGTGATTACAAATATCAGCGCAGCTGCAGGGGTGACGTGGGGGTGTGGCGTTAAATCACGATGATGGCAAACAACACCTACTATGTCCACACAATAAAGTATGGGGTCACGACAGCACAGGGTTGGACGTTTCTTACAAGTTTCATTTTCAGTCAAAATAAAATGATCCAATCTACTCGGCTGACGAGATATATTATAAAATGCCCAATACAGCACAGCATACATCTCAACTTACCCTACACCAAGTGTGGTAGAAAAGACAAGACCATGACGTCACTTGAATCAATACTATATAAATGAACAACTGATTTATGATTAAATAACCTGTCATGATTACATTTTAAATGTCAGTGGTGATACCTCACAAAAGCTCTTTTGTCTCAGCGACAGAAAATAAACATGACGATTACCACAAGTTCATTGATTCGCATTTTGTTACTGCTATGTTCAGCAATACTGTTATTCAGGAGTTGATATTAAAAATTAAAGATCCATTAGACAGATTGGTGAATAAATAAGCCTTCCCCAAATAGATGATGTAATGTACCTGTCCCTAAGCATGATGAAATAAAACAAATGAAATGAATCAGCATTCCAGGTTAACGTTCATTTTTTGGGTAGGTTTTAAAAAAACAACTGCAACTCAATTCAATTGGTCATTTAGAAAAACTTGATATCTTTCTCAATGCAAAATTCCTCAGGGACAGGCAATTTGTGTATTTACCTGTCTCAGCAAATCTATCTGTCTGGGACAGGTTAATGACCTTAATTTCAACTAGTGAAGTGTATTCTGATTGTTTTATTAAGAGCAAATTGGAAATGTAATCTAGATTTTACACAGCGTGATTTGTCAGAGAAACTAATATCCAAGCAGGTTGAGGTTGTGTTAAAGTTTTCATAACATAATATACCAACCTAATGTATCATTCTGACATCAAAAAGATCAAGTTGAGCCAGCTGATAGTAACTTACTGTAAAATACTTTATTTTCGCTTGGAATTAATTTTCGCTGAAGGAATGATTCATTGAAAATAAAATCCATTGAATATTTTACATTCCTCTATTTTACATTTAACATGTCAAAAATAAGCAAAAATAAATTTCATACAAAAAACACCAAAAATTCTTTTCAACGCAAATTAATTACAGATAAAATTATTTTACAGTATATGCCCCCAAAGTCACATCTATTGGCGATGATTATCAAACCACCTATTGAGTACATGTCACACTCACCCAGGGTATGGTGCGGTCCCTTTTTTTTTTAGTGTTCAATCCTAGGCAGAATTTATTTGAACTCTGGACAAGTCAATGACATGTACTACACCCATAACCAAATAGAGACCAGAGATTAACTAAAATTTGAATGCTAATCCTTCAAAGAAGAGAAAGATTGGAGATAAACCATAATGGCTAATACAACATTGTTTGTTATAATCAATTGTCAACTTATTCACTCACTTTGAAAACCAGGAAAAGATATGCTACTGCAAAAACTTCATAAAAAACATTATGTTTCCTAATCTTTGCATAATTGTTGCAGCCAAATTTAAATGTAATATGCCATTTATGACCGAATAACAGTAAGCAGAAGCCAGACGAATAATTTCAACTGACAGCTTGTACATAAAGCTAATAAAGAGAGAGAGAGGCGGTGGTGGTTTCAATGACAGTTTGAAAGACACATACAGAACTCATGAAAGTGATTCAATACATGACAAGGAATTTGAAAAACAAGGGAATACGTAATCAGTGAATAGTTTTGGTGTAATGGAAAACCAAATCATCAGCATGAAGCGTGTTATCCAATAAATTTAAAATTAAACTTGGTTTAAAGCTTAATATGGTATGGGTATTCAAATCTGAGATATAATTGAATTTCAACAAATCAATTCTTTGCTACCCCAGTTTAAATGACCAAGCACAGAAATTGCTAAGTTTTGCATAAAATCTGACAGTACACTAACCATTTACTGTGACACCAGAAAGAATTGTTGTAGAGACACCGTTTTGCTAATGATATGGCTATATTGCTAACATGTAGCCATTG